AAAAGGGCCAGGTTACAGGAAGAGATAAAATGCCATCAAGTCTTGAGAATTCTTTTTCTTCTGAGAGCAATGAAATTCCAGAGACCTGCTCATTTGGGAATAAATATCTTCTCACCACAGTATGTGTGGATGAACAAAGAGACCCATGCCCTACAATAACTCTGCAGGATTTAGAACATGGATATATGCTTTCTGAGCTTAATATAGATTCTGAACTCGTAACTGATAGATCAACTTGTGCACTGAAATATCCTAAGGTGCCTTGTGTATCAGAACATGTGGAAGTGCCTTGTTTACCACAAGATGCTAAAGCTGCTTTGTCGCACAAAACATCCTAAGGTACCTTGCACAACAGAATATCTTAAAGTGCCATTTGTTCCAGAAGCTCCAAAAGTACTTTATATAACAGATCATCTGAAAGTGCTTAGCACATCTGAATATGCTAAAGTGTCCTGTGTGCCAGAACCTCCCAAGGGGCTTTGTATAACAGAACATCTTAAGCTGCCTTATGGACTAGAATATTCTAAGGTGCTTTACACACCAGAAACTCCTAAGGCACCTTATGTATCACAACCTCTTTGTGTGCCTTGGGTACCAGAAGTTCCAAAGGTGGTTGTGAACCACAACATACTGAAGTGTAACAGTGTAAAGTGTAACAGTATCTCCTCAAGAACATTGCATAACAGAACATCCTACGGTGCCTTGCATGCCACAAACTCCTCGGGGGCCTGATGTACCAGAATCTCCTATACTGCTAGCATACAAGAACCTCCAAAGGTGCCTTGGGTACCAGAAGCTACTGAAACACTTTCTGTAAGGGAACCTCCTAAGGTACTTTGCAGAGTACAATTTCCTCAGGTGCTTTCTGTACCAGAATCACCTCATGTGCCTTAAGTGCCAGGACCTCCTAAGGTGCCTGAGGAAACAAACCTGGCAAAGTGACTTTTATATCAGATCATCCTAATATGCCAGGCATTCCACAACATCCTAAGATGTCTTGTGTACCGTAACGCTAAAGGTTACCTTGTACAACAGGAACTCGTAGGGTGTCGTGCCCACCAGAATATACTAAAGTGCTGAGGGTAGAAGAGCCTAATAATGTGCACTGTGTAACTAACACAGCACACTAAATGTATTCTACAATGGAGTCCCCTAAACTAACTTTGTTGCCAGGAACTACGAAGGAACCTTGTGTTCCACAATCTTCTCAGGTGCATTGTATATGAGAACTTCTTAACATCCGTTGCATAGCAGAACACACTCAAGTTCTTTCTGTAATGGAGCTTACCAATGTACTTTGCAGATCTGAATTTGCACAGGTGATTTGGGTACTAGAATCACCTAAAGTACCTGTCGTACCAGAACCTCCTAAAGTGCCTAATACACCAGAACATCCTAAAGTGCTTTGCACATCTGAACATGGTAAAGTCACCTGTTGGACAGAACCTCCAAAGCTGCTTTGTATAATAGACCATGCTAAGGTGTATGGCATACCAGAACCTCCTAAGATGCGCTGTGCAACACAAAATAGTAAAGCGCTTTTGGTAACAGATACTCCTAAAGCACCTGGCACAGCACAACATCGTAAACTGCCTTATGCACCAGAACCTCCCAAGGTGTCATGCACTTGTGAAAAACCTCAGGGCCTTGCATATCAGAAACTCCTAAGATGCCTCATGTAGGAGAACCTCTTAGTGCGCTTGAAGAAGTGTGCAGAAGCTCCTAAGTTGTCATGTATACCACAACATACTGAAGTGGTTCGTGTAACAGAACCTTCTCAAAGACTTTGCATAACAGAGCATCCTAAGGTGCCTTGCATGCCAAAACCTACTCAGGGGCCTTATGTAACAGAATTTACTATAGTGCCTGGCATTAAAGAACCTCCTAAGGCCGCTTATGTACCAGAAGCTAGTGAAACACTTTCTGTAAAGGAACCTCCTTAGGTACATTGCATAGCACAATTTGCTCTGGTGTTTTGTGTACCAGAATCACCTCAAGTGCACTAAGTACCAGAACCTCAGGATCCAAAATCTCGCCAAGTGACTTGCATACCAGAACATCCTAACATGCCAGGCATTCCAAAACCTCCTAAGGTGTCTTGTGTAGTGAAACCTTCAAAGTCGCCTTGTGCAAAAGGAACTCCAAGGGTCGTTTGCCCAGCAGAATATGCTAAAACGCTTAGGGTACCACAGCCTGCTAATGTGCCTTGTGCAAAACAGCACACTAAAGCTATTTCTGCAATGGAGCCCCCAAACTACCTTGGTTATCAGGAACTACCAAGGTACCTTACGTTCCAGAGTCTCCTCAGGTGAGATGTATACCAGAACATCCTAAGGTGCGTTGCATGCCCGAACTCACTAAAGCACTTTTTCTAACAGAGCTTCCCAATATACTTTGCAGATGAGAATTTCCACAGGTGCTTTGTGTACCAGAATCACCTAAAGTGCCTGCCGATCCAGAACCTCATAAACCAGACCATCCTAAAGCGCTTTGCATATTGGAACATGGTAAGATCAACTGTGGGCCAGAACCTCCCAAGCTGGTTTGTATAACAGATCATCCTAAGGTGCGTGACATACAGGGCCTCCTAAGATGCCTTGTGCAACATAACATAGTAAAGCGCTTTTGGTAATAGATATTACTAAAGCACCTGGCACACCACAACATCCTAAGCTGCCTTACACACAGAACCTCCCAGTGTCATACATTTCTGAAGAACCTGAGGTGCCTTTCATACCAGAGACTCCTAAAACGCCTCATGTACCAGAAGTTATTAGTGTATGGGTACCAAAAGGTCCTAAGATGGCATGTATAACACAACATACTGAAGTGGTTCCTGTCACAGAACCTCATCAAAGACCTTGCATAACAAAACATCCTAAGGTGCCTTTCATGCCACAACCTCCTCAGGGGCCTTATGTACCCAAATCTCCTATAGTGCCTGGCATATAAGAACCTCCTAAGGATCCTTGTGTACCAGAAGCTACTGAAACACTTTCTGTAAGGGAACCTCCTTAGGTTCCTTGCATAGCACAGTTTGCTCTGGTGTTTTGTGTACCAGAATCAACTCACGTGCCTTAAGTACCAGAACCTCAGGAACCAAAACTTTGCAAAGTGACTTGCATACCAGAACATCTTAACGTGCCAGGCATTCCAAAACATCCTAAGGTGTCTTGTGTACCCCAACCTTCAAAGTGGCCACGTGTAACAGGAACTTCTAGGGTCACTTGCCCACCAGAATATGCTAAAGCGCCGAGAAGACCACAGGCCATTAATGTGCCTTGTGCAACACAGCACCCTAGAGCTATTTCTGCAATGGAGCCCCCTAAACTACCTTGGTTGTCAGGAACTACCAAGGTACCTTGTGTTCAGGAATCTCCTCATGTGTGTTGTATACCAGAACCTACTAGGGTCCGTTGCATACCAGAACACATTGAAACACTTTCTCTAATGGAGCTTACCAATGTACTTTGCAGATCAGAATTTGCACAGGTGCTTTGTGTACCAGAATCACCTAAAGTGCCAGACGTGCCAGAACCTCCAAATATGCCATATATACCAGACCATCGTAAAGTGCTTTGCACTCTGAACATGGTAAAGTCACCTGTGGGCCAAGAACCTCCCAAGCTGCATTGTATAATAGATCATCCTAAGGTATCTGGCATACCAGAACCTCCTAAGATGCCTTGTGCAACACAACACACTAAAGTGCTTTTGGTAACAGATCCTCATAAAGCACCTGGTACACCACAACATCTTAAGCTGCCTTACGCTCCAGACCCTCCCAGATGTCATGCATTTCTGAACAATCTCAGGTGCCACGCATACCAGAAAATCCTAAGGTGCCTCATGTATCAGAAGCTACTAGTGTGCCTTGGGTATGAGAAGCTCGTAAGGTGCCACATGTACCACAAGATACTGAAGTCCTTCTTGTTACAGAAGCTCCTCAGGAATATGGCCTTAGAAAAATTGCTCAGTGCCCTTCCATGCCACAACCTCCTCAGGGACCTTACATACCAAAATGTCCTATAATGCCTGGCATACAAGAACCTCCTAAGACTTCTTGTGTAACAGAAGCTACTTAAATGCTTTCTGTAAGGTGTCCTCTAAGAACAATTTCCTCGAGTGCTTTGTGTACCAGAATCACCTCAAGTGCATTATGTACTAGGACCTCCTAGGGTGCCTCAGGAATCAAAACATCGCGAAGTGACTTCCATAGTAGAGCATCCTTTGGTGCAAGGTATTTCAAAAAATGCTAATGTGTCCTGTGTACAGGAAACCTTAAGGTTGCCTTGTGCAACAGCAACTCCTAGGGTTGCTTGCCCACCAGAATATGCTAAAGCGCCAAGAGTACCACAGCCTACTAATGTGCATTCTGTAACACAGCACACTAAAACTATTTCTGCAATGGAGCCCCCTAAATTACCGTGGCTTTCAGGAACTACCAAGGTACCTTGTGTTCCAGAATGTCCTCAGGTGCTTTGTACACCAGAACCTCCTAAGGTATGTTGAATACCAGAACACACTCAAGCACTTTCTGTAATGGAACTTCCAATGTACTTTCAGATCAGAATTTCCACAGGCCCTTTGTGTACCAGAATCACCTAAAGTACCTGACGTACCGGAAACTCCTAAAGTACCTTATATACCAGAGCATCCTACAGTGCTTTGCACATCTGAACATGGTAATGTCACCTGTGGGCCCAAACCTCCCAAGCTGCTTTGCATAACAGATCATCCTAAGGTGCTTGGCATACCAGAGGCTCCTAAGATGCCTTGTGCAACACAACATACTAAAGCGCTTTCTGAAACAGATACTCCTAGAGCACCTGGCACACTCCAGCATCCTAAACTGCCTTAAGGACCAGAACCTCCAAAGGTGTCATGCATTTCTGAGCAACCTCAGGTGCCTGGCATCCTATAAACTCTGAAAGCACCTCATGTATCAGAACCTGTTAGTGTGCCTTGGGTATGAGTACCTCCTAAGATGTCATACGTACCACAACATATTCAAGTCCTTCTTGTAACAAAGGGTCTTCAGGGGCTGGAGGTTTACCTCAGTGTCATAAGCACCTGACTTGCAAGCAGGCAGTTGTGAGTTCGATCCCCGGTACCAATAAAAAGGAAAAAGACAAAAAAAATTTTAAAAAAGGTCTTCAGGTACCTTGCCTGAAAGAACTTCATGAGTGACCGTGCATGCCACAACTCCTCAGGGGCCTTAAGTTCCAGAATCTTGTAAAATGCCTGGGATACAAGAACCTCCTAAGGCGCCTTGTGTACCAGAAGCTACTGAAACATTTTCTGTAAGGGAACCTCCTAAGGTACCTTGCATAGCAGTTTCCTCGGGTGCTTTGTGTACCACAATCACCTCAAGTGCCAAGAACCAGTACCCTCTACAGTGCCTCAGGAACCAATACCTCGCAAAGTGACTTGCACACCAGCACATCCTAATGTGCCAGGCATTCCAACACTTACTAAGGTGTCTTGTGTACCGGTACCTTTAAAGTTGCCTGTGCAACAGGAACTCCTAGGTTCGCTTGCCCACCAGAATATGCTAAAGTGCCGAAGGGACCACAGCTTATTAATGTGCCTTGTGTAACACAGCACACTAAAGCTATTTCTGCAATGGAGCCCCCTAAACAACCTTGGTTGTCAGGAACTACCACGGTACCTTGTTTTTCAGAATCTCCTAAGGTGCGATGAATACCAGAACACACTCAACCACTTTCAGTAATGGAACTTACAAATGTACTTTGCAGATCAGAATTTTCACAGGTGCTTTGTGTACCAGATTCACCTAAAGTGCCTGACATACCAGAACCTCGTAAATTGTCTTATATACCAGAGCATCTTAAAGTGCTTTGCACATCTGAATATGCTAAAGTCACCTGTGGGCAAGAATCTCCCAAGGTGCTTTGTATAACAGATCATCCTAAGGTGCCTGGCATACCAGACCCTCCTAAGATAACTTGTTCAGCACAATATACTAAAGTGCTTTCGGTAACAGATACCCCTAAGGCACCTGGAACACCACAACATTCTAAGCTTCCTTATGGACCAGAACCTCCCAAGGTGTCATGCATTTCTGAACAACCTCAGGTGCCTGCCATACCAGAAACTCCTAAGGCGCCTCATGTATCAGAACCTCTTAGTGTGCTTGGGTACCACAAGCTCCTAAGTGGCCATTTGTACCACAACATACTGAAGTGGTTGGTGTAACAGAACCTCCTCAAAGACCTTGCATAACAGAACATCCTAAGGTTCCTTGCATGTCACAACTTCCTCAGGGGCCTTGTGTACCAGAATCTCATATAGTGCCTGGCATAGAAGAACCTCCTAAGGCGCCTTGTGTACCAGTATCTACTGAAACACTTTCTGTAAGGGAACCTCCTAAGGTACCTTGCATAGCACAGTTTACTCGGGTGCTTTGTCTACCAGAATCATCTCAAGTGTCTTACATACCAGGACCTCCTAGGGTTCCTCAGGAACCTAAACGTCGCAACGTGACTTGCATACCAGAACATCCTAACGTGCCAGGCAATCCAAAACATCCTAAGGTGTCTTGTCTAATGGAACCTTCAAAGTTGCCTTGTGCAATGGGAACTCCTAGGGTCGCTTGCCCACCAGAATATGCTAAAGCGCCAAGGGTACCACAGCCTTCTAATATGCATTTGTAACACAGCACACTAAAGCTATTTCTGCAATGGAGCCCCCTAAACTACCCTGGTTGTCAGGAACTACCAAGATACCTTGTTTCCAGAATCTCCTCAGATATGTTGTATACCAGAACCTCCTAAGGTGTGTTGCATACCAGAACACACTCAAGCACTTTCAGTAATAGAACTTACCAATTTACTTTGCCTATCAGAATTTCCACAGGTCCTTTGTATAGCAGAATCACCTAAAGTGCCTGATGTACCACAACCTCCTCAAGTGCCTTATATGGCAGACCATCCTAAAGTGCTTTGCACATCTGAATATGCTAAAGTCACCAGTGGGCAAGAACCTCTCAAGGTGCTTTGTATAACAGATCATCCTAAGGTGCCTGGCATACGAGCCTCCTAAGATGCCTTGTGCAACACAACATAGTAAAACACTTTCGGTAAAAGATACTCCTAAAGCACCTGGCACACCAAAACATCCTAAGCTGCCTTAGGAACCACAACCTTCCAAGGTGTCATGCATTTCTGAACAACCTCAGGTGCCTGGCATACCAGAAACTCCTAAGGTGCTTCATGTATCAGAACCTCTTAGTGTGCCTTGTGTATTGGTAGCTTCTATGGTGCCACGTGTACCACAACATATTGAAGTCATCTTGTAACAGAAGCTCCTCAAGTACCTTGCCCTAAAGAACTTCCTCAGGCCCCTTGTATACCAGAACCACTTACAGTGCCTGGCATACCAGAACGTCCTAAAGTACTTTACATTATAGAATATCATAAGGTGCCTTCTGTGTCAGGCTCTTGTAAACTGCCTTGCTTAACAGAATATTCTAAGGTATCCTGCATAAAAGAGCCCCCTAAGATGTCTTGTGTATCAGACCATACCACAGTCCTTTTTGTAACTGAAACTCCTGAAGTGCCTTGCTACCTTCGTTGGGTCCTTTGGATACTACAACCTCCTAAAGCACACTGGCTGCCAAAATCTCCTCAAGTGCCTTTTGCACCAAAACTCCTCAGGTATCTTATGTGTCAGAACATCCTATCTTCCCTTCTCCGGAAGATAACTCCATCTCCCCAGAGCTGGTCTCTGCTGGAGAAAGGTTCATTGTGCTAATGGCCACTCTTTTTCATCTCAGTGATTCAGCAAGCATGCTAATATTGCCATCTGCTCATACTTGATGGGCCCGTTTGGTTGCAAGCTGTACAAATGTATGAACTACAAACTTCTGCTGCAGAGTACCACACACTTGTTCAATGCAGGCACATTCTTTGCATGATGAATGCATGATGCAAACAAAACTATTTTCCATCGCTGTAGACCCCACACAGATAGTAGTCTCATCAAATCCTGAAAGCCATGAAGGTATGCAAGAAATGGATGAAGAGGATGAGGCAAATAATAGCAAGGACAATGGCAGAGCTTTGTACTCTTTTTAGGTCTTCCTGACTTTGATTTTGTTTGAGAATTAGAGAGAGGAAACTTCACTCAGACACTACTAGTTTGCTGTAAGAAAACAGATCACATTTATGCCATGAACTTGGTGAAAAAAGAGCATGAAAACCTTGTTCATCCTTGGGCAGAGAAGAACGTATAGAAGACACTGGATCACCCCATTCTGGTTGAAGTGCATTCAAGCTTTTGATACCAAGTGGACTATTGTTCATCCTGAACTACTTTGTTTCTCTACAAACTATATTACCTATATATTTGGGCCTCTGATTTTATAGTCTTCAGTGACATTCAAAAACAGTAGCAATTTTGAACAAATCTGCAAAAACTACATATATTATAGTTGTATATCCTTAGTCAAGCTTTTTTATTTAGTCTACATAGTAGAATTCATTTCACCATCTTAAAGTACTACACCGTAAATCTACTTTCTAATATTTAAGTGGAATCAAAAGAGTAACGTGAAGAAAATGTTTCTCAAAACAAGGTCTAAAAGCCCAAAGGAATTCTAATGTGGGCTCAGTAGGAAACATTTGAAAGAAACATTACTGGCTCCTACTATGTGGCACAAGCCTGGGATGTCAGAGGGCTTTTACAAGTGAAGGAGTGCAGAATGCTAACCCACCTGAATCTGGAAGCCATAGAACTGGAACATGGACATCAGCAGAGGGTGTGAACACATGGAGACAAGGTTATTTCTTATTGGAGGTCACTGTATTTAGGAGAGAACTGTAGACCAAAGTCCCTTCTCCCATTCCCCCAAGATGAAATACGAAGTGTCCACATACTAAAATAGGGGAAGCCTTGGAAGACAGGGAGGAAAAGGAGAAAACAGACTTGCAGTGACTGTTTAGCAAACTCAATTGAGTGTTACGGTGCATATCCAGATGTCCCCCAGGCTCCTGTGCTCAGAGACAAGGCTTCTGGAAAGTGATTGGCTATGAGGATGATGCAGTTGACTTGCTATTAAGAGGTAGAGCCTGGTGGAAAGAGATGGGTCACAGAAGGCATGACCCAGAAGGGTATGTCCTTCTTCCTACCTCACTCTGGCACTCTTTGTTTCCAGGTCATGATATGAGCAGGGCTCCTCTGCCCACCCAGATCCTTCCATCATGCCACTAGACATGCAAAGACTGAAACTTCTAGATAATGAGCCATAATAAACCTCTCTTCCTTTAAATTGCATGTGTCAAGTATTTTGACCCAGTGACTCTTGTAGGCCAAAAACGAGCCCCCCAACATGGTGTCCAAAAATGGGGCAAGATGTTTTTCAAGAAAAAGCAATGCTGAATTGTTTTACCTGGTACCAGGGACACAGTGAAGTTGGAGTTCACAAAGCTGTGTGACTTACTTAAAACTTTCACAGACTTTTTTTAGAAAGAGCAATTACAAACTGAATGGTTTATGGGTGTGGATCAGGAGATGAGAAAATCCTTGATCCACTAAGGCATGAGGAAGACCTTTGTTTCCCTTTGCAGAGGACAGAGAGGTCTCACAGGAATTTACAATCCTTTGTCAACTAATTTTAGCACTTAATTTTACATAACATCTGTCCTTTGCAGAAGGCAGTAATGGTTAACCTATCAATCAGGTCACCCAGGAAGATGGCGTATACAGAAGAATATGATGGTGCTATAGCTATTAACAATGTGGTCAGTGCCCCATGGTGTCTGGTTGTAGAAAATAGTTGCGTTTGCAAAGGGAATTAACAAGTAATTTGGTCACATATCATGGGCATTGGCAAACATAAGACAAACATAACAAAGCTCTTTTTGTTAGTGTATAACATTCCCCACTGATTTTTGTTAATAATCCAAATCATTGGCTCATGGGGTTTTCAGACATAGGTATTTATTTAGAGCCTTGTGTCTTTAAAATCATAAGCTTAATAGTTTGAACCCAATCTTTCACACAGTTTACCAATTTGTTTATAATACAAGGCCCAATAGCAGGATTAACAAAAGTCTTGCAGCCACCATTATTAAAGCTGTTAACCAAAGAGAGAAAGAAAACCAACATTTAAATTAGCTGTGTTCTGCCTGCCTGGCTTGTTCTTGCAGTCACTTTCTGAGGTTAGCCATGTTTTGCCTGATGACTCCAGAATGATTGGCATACAAGCAACAATTTTTTCTAAAGACAGACAGAGGCCTCCTTGGTTCTCCATAAGGGAGAACACATAAGATTATCAGATATATTTGGCAATCTTAAGCTTTAAAGAGTCCTTGGAGGAAATGACAGTTCACTTATCTGTAGGTTGATCACCATCAGAGGCTGGGACAAGCTTGAAGTGGGAATGAGGAATCCAGGCGGGCTTTTCAGCGACTTTGACAGCAGTTAGAGTGCTGAGGACCACAGTGTAGGGATCTTTCCATCACAGCTCAAGAGAGTCATGGTGATGCCTCTTGATGAGGACTAGTGTCTCAGGCATTCATCCTTGCAGTGGACAGCAGGTGGGGGATGTTGTCTGAAAAACCAGTGGATGGAAGTCAGAACTGGATGAAGGGCCTGGAGGGACTTAATAAGATCTTGATTAGCTAAACCAGCTAATGTTTTTCAGAAATCTAATGGATAAGAGGAAGAGGTCTCCCATACAAAGCCTCAAAAGGAGAAATACCAGTAACATAGAGGGTACATCACACACCAAGAGGGCAAAAGGAAGGAGACTTACTCAGTTCATGCCAGTTCCTAACACCATTAGTTATTACCATTTTGAAAGTCTGTTTCATCCTTTCTATTGTCCTGAACTTTGAGGCTGGTAAGCACAGTGCAGTTTCCAAATGATCTGCAAAGCTTAGGTTAGTTTTTGAGTTATCTGGGCTATAAAAGCTGGGCCATTGTCAGACCCCATGGATAAGGGGAGGCCAAATTGGGGAAACTGCTATCAAGGCTGACTCAGACTTAGTAGGCAAAGCTTCTACACTTCCAGTGAAAGCATCAACCATTAACAGTAAACACTTATATCCTTGAAGTCTAGGCTTCCCCATTTCTGTAAAGTCTACTTCCTGATGTTCTCCAGACATGGTCCCACAATAAAGAGTAGTTTCTATTTGTCCCTTGTTAGATCTTTCTTTACATTTAGCTGTAGTGCCATCATACTGTTCTGCATGCCCATCTTCCTTATGTAAAATTAAGTGCTAGAGGAGAGGAGAGAAATGCAACTTGGAGAGGCCGAAGGGATGCAGACAGAGAGGCTTTGTTGAGTTCCTCTTGCTTGCTGGCACTGGGTGCTATGCTAAGTCATGTTTCTCTGCAACTGTCCAGTTCTTTCCTCCGACTTAGAAGAAAACCCTGTGTTCCTTGAATCTCAGTTCTTCGTTTCTGGAAATTGCTGTCACAAAAAGCATCAAATGAATACATGTTCTCTTTCGTTTGTGTCAGTCATGAACTTAGTAACAGCAGAGAAGAAGCAGTTTGCTGGACTCTCACAGGCCAAACCTGGGAAATTTAACATAAAAACTTCTCATGGAAAGACATTATAGAATATTTGAGAATAAAAAGAAAAAAAGCAGTTATATTAACAAAGACAAACAAGAAGATCTCCTTTATAGCAAAAATGACAAGTAATAAAGTAGAAGAGACAATAGTTCCAGAAAGTCAAAACTCTTACACTACTGTCTTGGTTACTTTTCTCATGTTGCTGGGACAAAATACCTGACACCCAAATTGAAGGAAGAAAAGGCTTATTTAGCTCACAGTTTGTGGAGATTTCAGTCCATAACCAGCTGGCTCCAAGGCAGGGTGGCAAGGCACCCAGGAAACACTCAAGGTAGAAGACAGCAAAACAGCCAGAGCAAAAAACCAAGGGAACAGACCTCTTTTCCTCCCTTACTTTGTAAGCAGTCTAACACCACTCCCCCACACAGGGCAGGTACAGGCACTCACAAAATCTCTGTGCCCTCCTCTTGCACAGGATGAGGCAAAGTAAGGACCCTGACTCCCTGCTGAGTCTCTTGGTTAAACTTCTAAATTTCTCAAGTTAACACAACCATAACAGCTGCAGTCCACTTGGAGTCCCTGGGGGAAATTTGTCCCCTTACTTAAAGCCCACTTATTTGCCTTGGTCTATGTACCTTCTTCCATTTCCAGGGTTAACAGAATCTTATCTTTAACTTTCTCAACTCTTCACCCTTCTCTCCTTCTCACTGGGACTTAAGTGATTGCTTTGGAGCAAGATGTTGATTCAGGATAATCTTCCCTTCCTAAGATCCGTCCACTAACCAGACCTGAAGTGCCCATCGGGCCACAGGAGGTAAAACATCAGGCGCCCTGAGAATTAAAACATGAACATCTCCCGCCTTGCACAAAGTGGACTAGGGAATTGTCATAATATTTTGCAACTTCTCTACAAGTCTGGCATTTTTTTTTTCAAAGTAAAAAGCATATAATACAATGAAGAACAATTTCGGCCACATTTTAAGTCATGATATTGAGGGATGTTAAGAGTCAAAAAAGACATTAATGTAAAATTACTATTTCCATCAAAATTGTGAATTTAATATATAAGGTTGAAAATATACATATAAAGACAGGCATTTATTTTCTCTAACATGTGAAAAATAATCTATTGAATAATTTATATTACCTGACTAGACAATCATGATTACCAGGTTCTTTCATAACCCTAATTTACACCACCATACAGTCATGTAGATACATTTCTAATACTTGGAAAATTCTTCCATATGATTATAGTGTGACTGCATCTATTTCTCCCTGTAGCAGTTTAACCATTTGTCCTTATATAATTATGCAAATACTCTACATTGTGTCCATAATCAGAAATGCCACTTTTATTAAACACTAAACAGCTCAGTACTACTTTGAAGTGACAGTTTCACCTGATTATTTCAAACATTGATTTGTTGTGGTGTTAATTTTTGACTTTGAGATCACTGTGAACATAATGATGACATCATACTTCAAATCTTAATGTATTTGTTAAATATGATGGATAATGTCTCTGTTGTTCTCAGGTATTTAATATTAAGATTTGAAAGGCATTGTTTTGGGGCCATTTTGGAGCTATCTAAAGGACAGTTTAAAAATTCATGTGCCATACTGGAGACTCATAAAATTGACATTCAAAATTCATTATGCAGAGCTCCTGATTTATATATTGAAACTCAGTTACAATTTAACAGCAGACAATTTCATCAAATATTGGGACCCAAAATATGTGACTGGCATCTCAAGTGAGTATTCTGAAAACTGCCATTTACCCTGAGGACATGGTAATTTTGTGCAAAAATTATTTAACACTGACTTTCCATGGCAGTGATTTTTTGATTTATACAAAAAAAGGAAAAGGCTTAGGATATAGCTGTGAACACGAATGCATACACAAAGTTCACAGAGCCTGAGGTTGGAAGCCCAGAACTCCAAGCTGTTTATTATGTTACAACTAAGAAATGTCTTTCTGCTTCAGATACGAAAGCCCATAGATGTAACATTTTGAACCATATTAGCAAAAGTTAGTATTCATCAGATTTGCTACATTCTAAGTTCATTCATAGTTTTACTTTTTTTAAATAAAAGCATGGACATAGAAGTCTTATGTTGACTTCTTTTAGCTCTTTTTAAAAGTTACCCTTCTACATGTCCTGAATAGGACAGTGTGTCCTATGATGCCTTCATTGGTAAGCTTCACTTATAATATTTTTCCACTGGATAAGGTATTTATTTCCATGAGTGTCCACATGTCCATTATGGCACTGTACTTACCATTTTAAGAAGTAATATATTGCTTTGGGTTATTAGTTTGTGGTAAATGTATAATCACATGAAGCACAGTAATGTATAAAGTTTAGATGAGTTCACATATTTTGGTAATAAAATGAAACCTTTTTTCTCTTTTCATCCAACAAATGTCTAACCCAACAATACCAATGCAGGTTAAGTATTATTTTCTAACAGTGTGAGAGTGACAGGAAGTTTGCTATTCACAGTGGCAAATGATTCATCCTTCACTCATCTCTTGACCGTCTCCATTGACACAAGATATCATTTATTTTTGCAAATTTGAATTTAGTCAAAAATTACATGGAAAATGTTACTAGTATCAAAAGTCGTGGCTTACCTGGGGTCATCACTTTACCCTTATTGTCCTATAATAATTTATCAACAGTACTCATTCATCCTTAGAGTGTTCTGGCTTACGATAACAAATTCTGTAGTCATCCCCCTCCTGACCTATTCTTTTGATTTTAAACTACATCTTCCAAAGTGAACCTAGGTACACGGCAAAAACAGTTCCTCTGCAGATGTTTATAAACAGATGCTGTTCATAGGTGCGTAGGACTTAGGGAGGGTAACTGATCTTTTTTGTTCCAAAAACAGACATTATTAAGGTTAACAAGTTGAAACATTTAGTTGCAATGTTATTGTTAATCACAAGCTTTCTTGGGGAGGAAGTCACCCTCTGGAAATTCACTGGACCATCAAAATCATTTAGAAATGAAAGGTTACATTTGCTAATGAAGACAAATTGAGCCTCAACCTGAGAAGCGTAGCAGCATGCATGCGTGGGTCCTTGTCACTGACTAACAACCTGAGTTGTCACATTAGCTTCTCTCTGATCCTGGGACCACTGAGGGGTAAGTTCTTGAAAGGTGCTCGGTTTATTTACTGTCGGCAGTGCTGCTCAGTCTGAGGTTTGCTAGTGTGGGTCTGCTGGATACTGCAGCTCAGAATGTTGTCATCAGAGGGTGATATCATACAAAAATAATAACCTTCCTCCCTAGTTTTAATTGTATTCAACATAAATATTTGTATTTTAGTTCAGATGGCATGTATGATATATTTGATTTGAAAATCATATAAAGTAGTCAGCAAAACTTTTAATAGGACTTTTTTGGTTGATGAATTTCATGAAATGTACCCCTGTTGATAGCTCAAAAAACAATTGTGTAAAGGGCGTGAGGTGGAGCTGTCTGGCACTGTGCCCATGTGGCCACCAGCAGCCCCACTTCGAGTAGAGGCTCAGCCACCAACCTTCCTTAGAGTCCCTGTGTCCTCACTGACTTGAATTCCTTTCAGGGAAAATGAATACACAAAGGAGACCCATAGCAACAGCTTAGTGATACTCACGATTCGCAGAAGGCAGAGGAGTCGCAGTTGTAACAGAAATGAGCCGCTGTCGCTGGAGTATCATTTCAGGTTAGAAGCAAAGCTTCACTAAGAAGAGAGAAAGTGTGTTTTTCCATTGGAAAATGTATGTATTTCCATGACTTCCCGAACATGCTCTGCAAGTAAACTTTCCTAGGAAGTGTTTCTTTCATCTTATTGATTTTCCTTGTGTGACTTTGGATGAACGCAGCAACACTGTGGGGCTCTCTGCACTGGCCTTGAAAAAAGAGATGAGAGGATGGGGGCTGGTGTAGAGCCAGAGGAAGCCATTTCAGCAGTCAGGCTGGCATAAAAATCATTCTAAACATGAAAGCAAACTATATTATGAGCTCTATTGATTGTAGATTTAATATGTAAAGTAGGGGAAATATCCACAGGCATTAATTTCTGTTTTATCGAAACTGGCATCGAGTTCATTTTAAACTCCTGAGGGTGGCTACCAGTGTGGCATCTGTTAGGAACAGAGAATGTAGTAAAAAGTGAAGGTCGATCTCCATTTGTTTGTGAAGAAATGCCAGCATGCAAAGCAAACCTTGTAAATACAAAACTACTTACAAAGTCCAAGTGATTTTGCTGTCTACCTGTGTGAGCATTTCGTGAGCACCCACTTTCCAAGAAATTTGGTAGACAATGGCTGGGGTAACCGACATGTCTTTGATCTGGGCTCCATCTGGAAGAAATTATGACCTAGAGCAAAGTTAGGAACCCAAGTTACTAGTATAACATGTTTGAAGGCATCAGAATATGTTATTTCAAAATATGCGCCTTTAACATAAAGATTACTTTGAGCTTTTTGGGAAATGAAAAAAACTGGCAGATCCCTGAAAATACAGAGCTTCCCTTTTTGTATGGGACATTTGCATTTATAGAAATCTCATTTAGTGAGGCTTGGCCCCTCTCTGTACCAGTAAGAGGAGCAGAACTAAGACATTGCCCACACAACATACATCTGCATGGTGAAACTTCCTTTATTTACAGTCCTTTTCCTGGTCATCTCCTCATGACTGGCCCTTTTCACACTGTAACCCGCTGTCCTCTTTTGGCTGCATATGGTATTTGAATCTGAATTCCAAGCCTCTTGTGATAACTTTTCACTGTAGCCTGGGTATCTCCCTTGTATGGATGAGGCATATGCTAACTGATTTATTTGCTTTTCTCTAGTTTATCTGTCTTTTATTACAGACCCAGTTAGGAACTAGGAAGGAAAGGAAAAATAATTGTCAATACCTTTCAATATCAGGTTACTAGTCCTAGGCAGGGAAAATTTTTATATTTTATAGTTCATGGGGGAAAAGTTACTTACTGGGAAAACTGCATGAACAGAGTGAGAATAGAGCCAAGTTATAAAAGAAGATCGTAATAGCATTTGCAAAGAGGAAAGACACGTAAGAAAAACCACGTGTGATGTTATGGTGCCAGGCATGTAAGTCATTGACAATAGGAGATGGTAGGAACTGCTATCTGGTTTAAATAGCTGAAGTTAATTTCTAAGTATTCTTCTTTGGGTAAGTTTATAAAACAAAGAGTAGGAGAAAAAAACAAACAGTAGAAAATTATAAAAATAACTTCTGAAATCATAGAAAATAAAATTGTATCTTAATAGTAAATACTCATTGCTATTGTTTGTCTTTTGTGTTTTGCTAGGAATTTGTTTTGTTTTGTTTTGTTTTCCCCTCTAACACATAAAGGTATACATGTAGAGACCCATGCATGCGTAGAACTTCTAAACATTTTATGAGAATCAGTTATATAATGCATGATGAAGTGAACAGCTACTTTGAAGAGACATGATGGTATATAGTGCTCATTCCATAGCATCATGATGTGAAATCCAGCAATACTATTATTCTTTGTTCAGAGTGATTTTAGTCTGTTTTGTATTGTTTAATTTCAACATACATGAAGATATGGACAGCTATTTTGAAAAGCATGAGAGATATTATGGCAACCATTGTTGATTTTCCTATTGTCTGGTTTTTAAGGCCTAAAATGCCCTTCAACATCCTGTTATGATCAGTTTTATACTCCTTTGTTTTGTATGAATTCTCTGTGTGTGAAGATATGGACAACTATTTGGAAGAAAACAAGAGACAGTATGATAGTCATTGAAGGTCTCTGGTTGCCTTGCTTTGAAATCTGTGTCTCTTACATTGTTATCTTATGATCTGTTTTGCTCTGTTTAATTTTACCCTCTTTAAAAATAAAATAAAAAATAGTAAATGCTCATAATCTTTTGTATCTATGAATGAGTCCCAATTTTGGCAAGTCTTGCACTTACCTTTCAGGTAGGATGTTGGCAAAGGAGCCTCTGTCTCTCCACCTTCAGAAAGCGGAGTTTGCAAAAGAGATGGGAGTTTAATTAGGAGGGAGCCAGATGTGGGGAGACTGGAGTCTCTGGGTTCAAGGCTAGGTAAGGGTCAGTGGCATTTATGTGACAGAAAAACCACTCAGTGTGAGGAAGGAAGCTGAAAGCTGGGAGAAGCTAAGTGGTTGGTGAACCGTACTTGGTGAGGCAAGCATCAAGGCTCCTCATAGGAAGCATATTCAGAAAATGGGGTGCCAGTGAGAGCTGAGGATGGGGGTTTGGCTTTTGTCAAAGTTCACTGGTGAGCATTCTTTGCAAATCCAGATGAGAGATTCTGGTTTCTACCAGTCTGAGCCAGACAAGTCTTCCTCACAATTCCTAAAAAGAAAGGCAAAGTGTCATCCTCACCAAGGTGGCCATGTATCAGAGACATTATCCATACAAAGTAAGGTCAGTAGTGCCATGTAAGTCTTCTCCTGAAAGAGCTTCAAAGAGAGGTTATGCTCTTTGAAAATTAAATTTTACTCAGGAAAGGTGGATGACTCAAGGTTTTTACCAAAAAAAAAATTGTTTTTATTTTTATGTGAATTTTATGTTAAAATAGCAATCTCTCATTATCCACAATTTCATTGTCTTTGATTCAGTGTCCACTGATTAGTCACAATCAGTAAAATATTAAATGGAAAATTCCGGAGATAAACAATTCATTACTTTAAAATGACTTTATAGTATTATTATACTTTCTTTACTTCATTAGTTATGATCATTATTTTTTTCTATGCTCAATTTATCTATATTACACATTATTATTGGTACATACATTAGAAAAACCTAGTAAAGACTCAGTACTATTTATGGCTTCAGGCATTCACTGAAGGTCTTGGATTCCACAGAGATAACAAGTGACTACTCTATTATTGTTTATAAGTGTGTACATTCTATCATGTTTATACATCCACAATTTTATTATTTTATAACTCTCACAAAATGCTTAACACTAAATAGCAATATTTTTATCTTTTACCTTCTGATTTTTAATAGCTCCTAAACCAGTTGGAAAAACTTTTAACTTGTTTATGCCTGTTAATGACATTTTTAAACTCATATGCATTTTATACACTAAGTCAAGGTAATCAGAAGTAAAGGTATCATGGTACTAAATAGGGGCAGAGATGAGTTTGTGGCTATTGTGCAAATACAAAAAACATTAGGAGGAATAAACTGTAAAGAGTATTATATGATATATGTACTTTTTTGGGATAAAAGCTAGTGTAAGAATCTGTAAGAATTTTGAATCCAGGGAATTTGGCAGCCAGAGCCACATTTGTCTGGCTCTGCTGGTTTCCAGCCTGCCTGGGCCACATGCAGTGAACTTCTCTCAATCTGGGGAACTGGTCAGCTGGAGGTGAGTGTCTGTGCACCATCCTGAGCCCTGGGAGAGTTTAAGATCATTGCCCCCAGTGGTCAAGGACCCGCCCAGCTTCCAGCCACCTAGACTAGACTAGGTTTTGTGACCCGACTAGATTATGTCCGGCGACCTTCTTCAATCAGGAGAGTTGAGGACACATGAAGTGAGTTCCAGACCATTGGTCCTTGCCCAGAGAGGGCTTTGGACCATCATCCACAGTGGTCAGGTGCCCACCCAGCTTCCTGGAACACTGGAGGTGACATGGGAGGTCCTGTGGGCCTGACTGGACCAACGCTCAGCAACCTCCATTCAGTCCCAGGAGCTGAGGGCATAGAAGACGATTTTCAACAGGCCCAGGGGAAGCCTTGGAACAACACTTGAAACAGGGAAATATAGGAAAATGACAAGATGAAAGACCAAAATGTAATTTCAAACCTCCAGCCCATCCCAAGAAACCTTAGGAGCTATGTACATAGAAGAAAATGTATACCATACACCTGAAATATCTGAAATAAGAACAACAGAAATAAAGAAGCAACTCTGGGAAGTTTTCAAGGAATTAAAACTAGAATTAATCTCCCAGGTAAATGAAGAAATGATAAAAGTAATGAAAGAGATGGTGAACACATCTAAAAAAGACAGTTAAAAAATTAGAGGAACAAAACAAAAAGATAGAATCCCTGGATGAACAATATAAGAAACAAACAGAATACATGAAGCAGATTTAAAGAGATATACAGGAAATCAAAAATTCCACTGAAAGTTGTCAAAACCTCAACGAAAGTGAAGGTACAATTTCAGACCTTGAAGACAAGATTGCAGCTAGTGAGCAAGAAAGGAAAGATCTCTTAAAAATAACAAGGAATCAGGAAACAACAATTCAATAGCTGCAAGATGATGCAAGAAAAACAACATAAGATTGATAGGGATGAATGAAAAAGAAGGGAACAACACAAATGATATCAAGAGGTTATTTAGAAAAGTAATAGCTGAAAATTTCCCAAACATGAGAACGAAAATGGACATTAGGTTTAGTGAAGCATATAGAACTCTAAATAGCCATAACCAAAATAAAACTACACTTAGACATATAATAATCACCATTGCAGAAATCCAACATAAGAATAGAATATTAAAAGCTGTTAGAAGAGACAGATCACCTATAAAGGAAATCCTATCAGAATCACAGCAGACTTCTCAAAACCAACAATGAAGTCAAAAAGAGCATGGAGTGAAGCATTTCAGATTCTAAAGGAAAATGATTTCCAACCTAAATTGATGTACCCTGCAAAACTGTTTTTCAAAATGGAGAAATAAGATACTTCCATGACAAAGAACAGCTAAAGAACTTCATGATCACCAAGCCAACCCTGCAAAAAATACTGAAAGACAGTTTAGACACCCTTAGGAAAAAACCACTAAGCAAAGCAGACAAACAGAATGGAAAGATAAAGATGCAACAGCAGAAAGATAACATGTCAACAATAAACCAATATATAACAGTTGTAACCATTAATGTAAATAGTCTCAATTTATACCAATTTATACCAATTAAAAGAAACAGACTGGCAAAATGGATCAAGAAACAACATTCAACCATATGCTATCTACAAGAAACCCATCTAACCCAAAAGGGAAGTCAAAGATTGAAAGTCAAAAGATGGAAAACAATACTTCATGCAACAGGAACCACCGCCCCAAAATGGAGGGAGCTATTCTGTTTGCAGACAATGTGAAATTAAAACCAAGAATGATTAGAAGAGATAAAGAAGGTCATTACATACTGGTTAGGGGAAAACTTCAAGAGGAAGAGATAACAATCTTAAATATATATGCACACAAATTCTAGAGCACCCAGTTATACAAAGCAAGTATTAATAGAAATGAAAAATCAAATAAGCAATAACACAATTATAACAGGAGACCTTAACACACCATTGACACCAAGGGACAGATCAACCAGACAGAGTTTGTATTAAAGGGAGAGGTCTGAATCTGAAAGGAAAGTATATCTTCATAAACTACCCCCTTTATTACATTTTGGAAGACCTGCACATCTGGAAGAATAAATATATTTGATACACCAGGAGGTTAATAATAAATTTTTAGTCATATGAAAAACTTTGCACTAGAGCATCTTTAAAGTAAAAAACTTATGGTATGGAAATTTTTATCCTTTTGATGATGACCAATGTAAACATATTAACATAATATATATTTAGTAACAATTATTGGAGTGTTTCCCACAAGGCTATGGAGATCACTGGGGCCAGCCATCAATGAACAACAATTGATTAAAGTTATTCCAGGCAGCTACTCTTTTTCATTAAATGGAGTCTTGTCCAATAATCTCTCCCTACTCCTAGGGAATTTTGTTGAATAGCTTAACTATTTTTGATGACCTATGAAAACCCAATCATAACATTTAACACGTTATTTTTAAATAATGAGAGACTCCAAAGTCATAATAAACAATGATATATATTTGATTTATACAACCAATTTTAACATAATTTTTATCTGCTGGCAATGTGGGTGGAAGCATGCTTTTTTGTGTGTGTGTCTTTTAAAGACAGGGTTTCTCTATGCAGTTCAGGCTGGCCTTGAGCTCACTTTGTAACCTAGGTTGGTCTCAAACTTGCAATGATCCTCCTGCCTCAGCCTCCCGAGTCCTGGGATTACAAGCAGGAGTGACCATGCTCAGCTTGAAGCATGCTTTTTAAATCTATAAACCCAATTCAACTTTTATAAAAGATCCAAAAATGCAAAAGAAAAAATAGACAAAAAAGCATTGGGTTCAAATAAAAGAACAGCTGTCCATGGATATAACAAACATACAAACAAGCACATAACTTAAGACTGGACAAATAGACAAGCATGCCATAAAATCAGAGTACACACAAATATATTTCTGACCAAACTGAATTATAAGAATTCTCTTACTATTTTAGAAGTTTGTAATTACAAATAGGTTAGTCAGGATTGTTTATAAGTCAGTTAAGCAGAGATCTCTTCTAAGAAGAATTTGTAAGGAACAAAATCTTTTTATCTATAATTGGTATATAGTTTTGTATTTTATTTTATCTTAAGAATAGTATTAACTTTTGTGTCCCCTTCTTTCATATAACTTTCAGCCTGGTTATCTCCAAGCACTCTACCACTTATTCAGACTTTTGATTCCTTTTTTTGCTTACCATCTCCTGAGTATTCTGGGTTAATTCCTTAAATTGGCTCCAGATCAGCTCTAGCCACATTCTTGTCTATCAGCTGCAGAGCAGTTTCTGAGGCATCACTGTCATAGGACTGAGTATTAGCTTCTTGAGAGATGAAATCAACTCTCTCCAGATTTGGGCTCATGATACAGCTGGACAGCACACTCTGGTACAAAGATAGGCTACTCAGCATTCTCTACAAATACACAAGCAAATCCTCTACCCTGAGTGGGCTAGGACCTTTTTAAGCTTCTTTTCCTTTACCTGACTCGTTTTTCTGCTTCTATAGTTTCATCCATAGTAGAATTTAGAGAGTTAAACTCTAGTATATACTGCCAAGTGAAGTCTACTATGAGGTATAAATTCTGTAAGGCAGGATTCTCCCTCTTGCTTTTGTAGTTGAATTTGATTGTATGGTGAGCACATTCAACAATTTCTTGATTTTGAGGGTTATAAGGAATATCCATGATAAGGGAAATACGAAGTTTTACAAAACATTTAGAAAGCAGCATTTGTATGTGCTGGAGCATCATCAGTCTTTAAGTGTCATGGGCAGCCAAGGGCACAAGGGCACTAAAGACATCCAAACAATGAGCAATGATGTTTAGCTGCTTCACAGAACACTGAAACAAAAAATAAAACACGAGGAAGTATTAATTTAAACATGGATCTAGTGCAAAAGGCCAAACTGAGGAATTGAGTGATATCCATCTGCCATAGATGTCTGACATGTAACCTTCCAGGATTAAGTCCCATAGAGATTGAGGAAGATATATTATGCATGAGGAACATTGTTGAACAATTTGTGGAGCCTGTTCCTGGGTTAAATGGAACTGTTTGCATAAGGCAGAAGCATTTTGATGAAAGGTAGCATGGGAGGCAGAAGCCTGTTGAACAGTATCTGATGGAGCAACAACAGTTCTTGGCAGCAGAAGACAGCAAAAGTAGGAAGAGTAAAAGAAGTGAGGGTTGAGTGTCCTTTTCTCCCCTGCATCATAAGTGGGCTACCTGCCTAGGGTGAGTGCAGCATGCACACCATCTCCTTGTCCTCCTCTTGCACAGGATGAGAATGTTTACAAAGTGAGCACCCCAGTCACTCAGCCAAACTTTCCAAGTTGGCAGAATGTATCAACCATTCCAATCTACCCCTGGTCAATTTGCATCCAGATACATTTCTTTAAACCAGTTTCCAGCTACAAAGACATGCTTATTGGTAACATTTCACAACTTGAACATTTAACACAGATTTAATAATCCTTAAGAGCCAGTAGTAAGTCGATCAACATATTACATTAGAAGCATAATATTTTGTCCATGCAGCTAAAACAAACAACTGTTGTTTCTCCTTCATCTGGACAAGCTCCAGGTTCTGAGAGCTCTCTGGTTCCTTCCTCTGGGGGCCTGTGAGAAGCGGTAAGAGGAGCAGAGAGGAGCAGTTTCTTCCTGTTAAATAAGACTCTAAAAGTCTGTAAGATCTAGATAGAGTTGTGCTAGTTTGCTTTTTCCCTAGCTTTAGTCTAAGCTGATTTCCCACCTCTTCCCAAGTATGTAAATTTAAAGTTCCTTCTTCTGGAAGCAAACAAACAACAACAACAAAAACCCATGAAATTTAACAAGCTGTGCAATCATAATAGACTTGCAATCATTAAGACACTCCTTGATACAGCTCCACAACAAAAAGGTGAACACAGGAATCAATACAAGAAGCACTTCTATATACATTTGTGGTTCTTGAAAATCTAGTTGCCCTATTTAACAATTGGTAAAATCAATGCATCTCTATTCTTTTGTGCATTTAATGAGAAGTGACCCCCCCTCACCCAGTAATTCTTCTTACTCCAGTCCTTGTTCAGGCACCAAATGATACATCTGGTCGTAGTTCTATATGTTCCCAAGGGGAAGGACAGCAAGAGGACAGGAAAATGAGAAAAAAGGTAAAAGCTGAGGCCAAGTGGGACCCTCTCTCTTGATGAGAGAAAAGCAACTAGTCAACCACTGTAGTACATTTGTTGATATACTCATGAGGTTGATGTGAACAGCTTATTTACATGGCTCACTTTGTTCTCAGGGGTGGCCTTGTTTTAGGCCCACATATATGATCTATCTCCAACTGTAGCCACTCCCCACGGGGCACAAACCCAATGCAGAGCCCACAGAAGATGCCTGTGATCAAGCAGCCCAGCATAAACATCCCCATGGATCAGTCACCAGTCAGGACCACGATGTTGACCATGAGCATGGAGTTGTGCCTGCATATTCAGAGACAGACTGAAGCTGCCAGCACACTGCCTGGAGTTGACCCTTTTTTTTTGGTTTAAATTTTCTTCCCCAATTTCTATTATTGAAACATTTCAAGTTGGAGTAACCTGAATCAATTTTTTAATCAAGTTTTTATACTTCTTTCTGTATGTGTCAAACTCACCTAGAAAACTGAAGGTCTCAGTAACCCATTCTGGGACCCTCCTGTTCTGTCAGGAGTGACTCCTACCCCATAATAAATTTTCTTATTCTTAAAAAAAAAGGTAAAACTTCAGATCTCTTTTTTTGTGGTGCTGAGGACTGAACCCTGGGCCTTCCACATGCTAGGCAGCCATCTTATGAACCGACCTACAACCCCAGCTGTTGCTTGAGATTCCTTCTGCAAGACTCAGCTGTAGCCTAGGACTTTTTTCCCAGACAGGCCCTCAGGGGCCTTGAACTTTCTCCATAGCCCAGGCTGTCTCAGTTTCCCAAAGGTTGAGGTGACAGGAATGTACCACCATGTCTAACTAGCCTGGGATTTTAGCAAGCACTTCAGGCCAGTGGCCCTCACACTCACAGCAGTTAGAAATCTGCTAGAAATTACATTTCTCTCCTCCCCTACGTTTATCACCCAAGGGTCAGAGCTGAAAAAGCCACCTGAGAGGGCAAGCAAAGAATTAAAATGCATTATGTACAAATCCCACAATGGATATAATCTTGATGTCAACATGCACTCATAAAAATGTACAAAGAAAAAAAACTCTTTAAAAAACACTCCAGGTGATCTGATATTTCAAACTTAAGTCTGAGAACCACTGCCCTAGACAGCACTTTGGGAGAAACTGTGATCTCCCCCTTCTATCAAAAATTTTGGGAGGTCAGACAGGGAGGCACAGGTCTATAATAACTATTTTGGAGGCTGAGGCAGAAAGATTTCAGGTTTGAGGGCAGTTTGGAAAACTCAGTGACCCTGTCTCAAAAACAAACAAATGAACAAAAAACCAAATAAACCAAACCACAGAAACAGAGATAAACTATATCTCCAGTTTCTATGTATTTTTATTTTACTGCATTTCAAGCACTGTAGTTTCTTAGAGATCATGAATATTGTACTGATTTTAAAACATTTTAGATAAAATATTTCTCTATCACAGAATTACATATACTCAAAAGGCAGTCAGCTTCAGTTCTCTTACTCTAGTTCTCTTACTCTCACTCATGACTAATTATGTCATGCATAATTAGTATTGATAATATGTATAAAATAAAATATTGCCACTTTGGTGTGCTAAGCCCCAGAGGCAAAGCACTACATGTAAACCAGAAATAAAAGATTAGCACTGAAACTATGTGTGTGGTCCATGCTTGTAATTCCAACACTCAAGAAGGTGAGGCAGAAAGGCTGCTCTGAGTTCAAGGTTTGATCCCTAAAGTTCGATTCCCAGTACCAACAAACATACAGAACATGTTGGTGAAGCAGCATTAAACTCTCTGTGAGTCTCACTTGCATGGCCTATGGGTATTAGTGGGAGGTTTGCCAAAATCTGATGCATGTGTGGGTCTCACCCCAGAGATGGGAGCTTAACTGGCCTGGGGTACAACCTGGCAGTGGGACTTAAAAGCTCTCCAGGGGATCTTACATGGGTAGCACCAGTGGAGAACCATTGTGAAGCAAATAACTCCCCCTTCCCCATTTTCACCTTTCTCTGCATTACTTTCCTGGGGATCTCTTCAGTGTTAGGTTCTTGTGCTAATGAATGAAAGCAGGTCACATTAGGTTTTTTTGTTTTCAGGGCAGTCTCTCACTATGTAGTATAGGCTGGCCTCAAACTTATGGTGATCTTCTTGCCTCAGTCTCCCCAGTAGTAGGATTACAGGTGTATGCCACCATGACCAGCTCCTCCCACCCAAGTTTTAAACAACTATTATTTGTAGCTTTGTATTTCATTACAATATTTGTAAAATGAAATTTAAAGATGCAGTCTCAAAAAATACTAATGAAAGTTTTCACAGGACGTCTGTGACCTGTGTTTATGTAAGAATAGTGCCACCAACTCCACATTTTAATTCTTAACAGACCTGCCAAATGTCAACTTTGCAGGAAACATTGTTACCTAGTTGAAGTACTGGGCACAATTTCTCCCCTATAAAAGCAAACCGTAAGTACTACACATTATCACTCCTTCCATTTCTCTTCATCTTTTGTGGGGTGGGGGGAGGCAAACCTATTAGTAGTAACCCTGTTTCCATGAAAGCCTATGCAAGTGGAGACACAGGAATCTTACTTCAGGGCTGACTCTCAGTTCCTTTACTGTGTTTATTCAGCAACTGCAAGTCAATTTAAACAGGTAGCTCTAACTGTGTATGATGATCATGCTGCAATCCAACACTTGGAGGAGCTGAGGCCAGAAGATCCCAAATTTGATTCCAGTCAAGACAACTCCAGGAGGCAGTCTCAATAAAAAAGCAGAAAATCTTTTTTTAAAAAGGGTTGGAGATGTACCTCAGTGCTAACAGGCTGTGGTTCACCTCCAAGCAAGTGGTGGAGCATGAGTTCTAAATGCTCTTCCTGCCAACAAAACACTTTTCACAAGAGGAAGTCAGGGAGCTCTGGGAGGGCCTTGCAGGAATGAAGATCTGCAGGTAAGAGACATCTCTAGAGGGGTATCTGTACTATAACAGTCTCCACTGATGTAGGTCTACTGGAGACAGCAATTTTTTTTGTAGTCCTAATTAAATGCCCAAGAAGACAAATAAAACTTTAACTGTTAATTGCTCAGGAATGATTGGCTATCAGACCACAAAATTTTAAATGATCCTACAAATACCTGATGACAACCATACCAGGCACATAGGCCTAGAAAAAGATTTTAATAAAAAGCAGTGTCCCAAAATACACAAATGGGTAGTTGACCTCTGGTGTATGGAAACAGCAAAATGCAGATTAAAACTGAAGAATTGTCGCCAAGCATACTGTGCCTCTCTTTTCTGTCCAATGTGTGATGAGTCATTTGGTAGAAATGTCAATTTCTAGCCATCAAACTTACCTCATTTAAAACAACACAGTTCCTTCAGCCATACAAGGCAGAGTTGTCTAGGCATCTTCACAACAAAAACTTTTCACAGGGGTGTATCCTGAACTGATAGAGCAGCACTCAGCAAATGTGCTCACAACACTGACCACAATCTGATTGATTTTAGTCCTGGAAAACCACCTAAGGACATGCAAAAACATGAAAATCAGAGATAGACATCTTTTTTAAAATTTTTATTTAAAGAAAGACTAAGCAAAACAGAAAATGAGTAGAAATAATACATATTTTCAAAGAAAAAATAAACAGTAAGAAATAACTATTTGATGATTACAGATTGTCTTCTTACAAATACTAATTCAAGATACTAAAGTGGAGTATATAAAGTGGGGATTCAAACAATGAGATTGCAACCAGTTCTGTTCAACTATCCAACAAAAAAACTTAGAAATATGGTTATCAACCCTATACACTTAAACATATATGCAGTTATCCATATCTTCAATTATGTTGACACTGAATAAACCCAAGCAAGCTAATATCACTCTGAACAAAGAATAATTCTATTGCTTGGTTTTACATTATGACACTCTAGGATCAGCACTGGGTATTTTAGTGTCTCTTTTTCTTCAAAGTATCTGTTCATTTCATCATGTGTCATATGATCAGTTCTCATAAACTATTTACAGATTCTACACATGCACAAGTCTTAACATGTATTTCTATCCTTTTTGTATTACAGGGAGAAACAAAACAAAGCATGGCAAAATAAAACATATTCCTATAAACACATGAAGTGAAATAAACATGTAAGACTGTTGTACAAAGAGTTCTACCATGGTTCCTGTGCTGTCTCTTGTTATCTCCAATAGAATTGGCTATATCATCAGACATAGTATAATTGAATATATCAGTACATAACAATATTATAAAAACACAACTTTGTATATAGTATAGAACTTCAAAAACCGGCAATTATCAAACCAGAATGTGTATCGTAGAGTCTTGTCATCTTCAGTGTAGTTGCCTATACTCTCATACTTGAAACTATCAATCATATCAGTTTTGAATAAAATCTTCTCTGCCTCATTTCTGTTATACTCTTGTTTACCATCAGTTGTTTGCCTATCTTATTCATTGTGTTTTCTGCTCCATTCATTGAGGCCTCTCTGCCACTGTTCCTGGAATCCTAGTACTTTTCTCTCTCTCTGTTCAATGCCCTGCAGTATTCTCTGTAGACTTGAATTGGTGGTTGCGAATTTCCCAAGTTCCTCTTTGTCTGGGAAGCATCTTGTTTCTCCATTAATTTCTAGAGACAGTTTATCAGAGTATATCAATCTGGGCTGGAGGTTATTTTCTTTCAGGGTTTGGAATATTTTGCTCCAGGCTCTTCTTGACTTGATGGTTTATGTCGAGAAGTCTGCCATTATTCTGATGGGCCTTCCTCTATAGGTTGTTTCTCTCTAGTAGCTTTTAATATTCTGGGTCAGCAGCCAAGGCGGGGTCAGGGATGGGGGCAGCCGGTGGGCTCCCAGTCACTCCCAGGCCTGCAGCTACAGGTCTCGCCAGCAGCCTAGAGGTGCCACAGGCAGCAGCTGGAGTGCAGTGACACGGGGATCAGTCAAGTTGCTGTGACGTGCACTGCGTTTCTTTGGGACGCCTCCCCTCCAGGTCAGTCAAGCTGCTGTGGCCTGCACTGTCAGTCAGACTTCTAAGATTTCACTGGGTTAGTATGGCTAGTGTGCGCCACCACTGTAGGGACTTGATTTCAGATAACCTATTGGGTCTCAGCCAGGTCACATGACCCAGGCCTACTTCACTCCACCAATCCCGTTTGGGAAGGGAGCAAGTGACTAAAGTTTAAGGGAGGGAACCTGAGAAGTCTGAGGGGACACAGCTGGTGAAGAGGTTGCAGCTAACATCTCAGGGAGTGGAATCCACTGCCCACCCACCACCCGACTTGAGCAAGTCTTTCTGATGTACTTGAGGTGTGGTAGATATGCAGGAAGTGCAGGATGTCACACCATCACACATGGTCTGCATGGTGCTGGGTCTCCTCCCAGCTCATATATGAGCCCAAGGACAGTAGCCCCATGCCCTGCTGGCCCTGCATAGGCTGTGAGTGGGACAGGGCAGTGGAGGAGAGGCTTAGAGGCTCCTGGCTTGGTGATGGTGCTTTCCATCTCTAATAGCTAGGCTGCCATGGACACAAATCAGTTAGTCCCAATGTGTAGCCAGGTGTCAGCCTCCCCACTTTTTTTTTTGCCGGTACCAGAGATTGAGTTCACAACCATGGGCTTGCCAGGCAGGCACTTAAGCCAGAGTTAAATCCCCAGCTCTCTGCCTTTTTAAAAAACAGTTTCACTATGTAAGGCTAATCTCTAGCTCACTAAGTAGCTCAGTCTGTCCTCAAACTCACAATCCTCCTATCCCAACTTCCAAAGTTAGTTATAAATGAAGGAACCGACTCAAAATTCTAATGGTTTCATTGGCTGGAAGTGGAGGTCAGTGATATAGCACTTGCCTAGCAATCTTGAGGATTGAGTTTGATCACCAGAACAAGAAAACTAAACAGACAGTTTGGCATGGTGGTGCACTCCTATAATCTCAGCACTTGGGAGGCTGAGGGCAGGAGGATTGCTGCAAGTTCGAGACCAGCTTGGGCTACAAAGTGAGCCCAAGGCCAGCTTGAACTACATAACAAGACTCTGTCTCAAAAAGAAGGAAAAAAAGAAAGAAAGAAAACAAAACAACACAGGGCTGGGATGTAGCTCAGCAGCACAATGCCTGTCTGGCAAACCCAAGTCCCTGAGTTTGATTCCTGATAAAATAAATAAATAAAATAAAGCAAAAAACAAAAAAATGCAACAAATAGTCAAACATTATAATACTAAACACAGGCTACTTTATCAATGTTAAACTTAAATGCATTTGTAGATGCAGGCTATCTGAGTGACTCTTTTTCCAGTGCCACAGAGAGGCAAAAGGCAAGAAAAAAAAGCCCTTATTGAGGATGTGGAGAGGAGTGCACAAATCATGCTGTTGGGATTTCTCCTCTGACTAGAGACAAACATGGCAGGAGGTTTTATGACCTCTGGCCAGAGGCAGAGTCTGGCATTGAGGACACTGGGGACGTGTGAAGAACTGATTGGAATTTTCTTCACATGTGGGAAAAGAAAGAGGAAGTAATTGGGATGAGGCGGAAGGAGGAAGAAGTGGTCATCAGGGTAAGTGTCATTTTGGCTTTGGCCTTCCACCATGCTAGGCCACCGTCATAATGTCCAGTAATTTATACTAGGGCAGAAACCTTTCACTGAGAAGCTAATGGTTTCTTCAGTCATTATTCAAATTATAGTGCCCTCTAAGATACTTCATTAAGCAAGTATTGAGCCATATTATTTCTCTTTAGGGACAAGAAATTCAGCCATTTGGCCACTGTCCACATTTATCCCAAACCCAGATTTACAAAAATATTTTCTATGTAAAAAATGAAGAGACCTTTATAAGATCTCCCCATTTTTCAAGAAAAATAATTTCTGACTCTTTAAATAAAGTTTCTAGAAACACCACTGTGCCAGCCTGAGGTACCCCAAGGATTGTCCTTTGAGGGCTAAGTGGCAGCCAAACTCAATGGACTCCACACCAAGGCAGTCCCATCCAGGGCCAGCTGGACCAGGTCCCAATTGCCCATTCAGACGCCCCCACCTTCCTGACTTCATTTTCTATTTGTCCTCAATGCCACCAGTACAGCCCACTTCCTTGGTCAGCTTGTGGTCCATGCCTGCCAAAGTGGTTGACAAGGGTCCAACAGAAAAGGAACCAAAAATCCCACCCATGGAGACAATAGCCATGGAGGGTCCTTGACCACTGGGGCAACGATCTTAAACTCTCCCAGGGCTCGGGATGGTGCACAGACTTTTGCTGGAAGGGTTATCTAATTTTTGCAACAAGATATGGGGAATCACCTGGGTGATACCTCTTGAAAAAACAGTAATTATCTCTATTTAGATCAATGTATTGATATGTACAGAGTTGGTGAGGCCATTTCTTTGTCCCTTCAAATGGCTTTAAGCAATATAAATTGAACTGGCTGTGGAGCTGATATGTAATCTTTGAAACAAGGGCTGTTTCCCTGCCCAGAGACTCCCCAAAATCATGGACAAGCCAGGTGGGATGGAGAGCTGTACTCCACGTTGTCCTGGACTACAGACTACAGATAACATGCTATGACTTCCCAGAGGGGGGAAAAAAAGACATTAGAGCTGAAGCACTGACTCTGAAACATTAGATCTACCTTAGTTGTGTTATACAAATTACTCTTTCCTTCTGCATATTACAGAGTTCATCTCAGGCCTCCTACTTAGTTCGGCTCACAACATTTATGTTTCCTTCCATTCTCACTGTCACTCATCCCTGAGCCACTCCTCTCATGGAGAATAAATCCCGGGTTGGGCCCTGGGTCAGGGCTTTTGTTCTGATGAATCTTCATCCAGGCCAGACATAGGACCCCCTTGGCTCCCCATAGCTATAAATATATCTATATGTCTTTATTATCACCGAGAGTTGCACTGGAAGTGGTAGACAGGAATTAATTTATTGGAATTCCAACGATTTTTTCATGGGATTACAAATACAAAGTTCTTGGATTGCAATAAGATCTGGGAAGAGCTCTCCATACCAAACTGCTGTTTATAAACTCTCTTATGATTTGAAAAATAAAATGTGTGTTAGGAGGATAGACTGTTCTAGCTGGACAAAAGTGAGAGGCGAGGGATTAGTTCCTCCAGTAAAGAATAGATGGGGATGGAAGAGATCAGCCCAAATCATCATAGCGTGGCAAGGGCAGTTTGGACAATTTAGCTTAGAAAGCCCAATAGGTGGCAGCACTGGTGCATGTGGTCTACCTACCCCTCTATCTCTATCACTGTTCGGGACTTGGTAGGGAGTCCAGCCACTCTGGGAGAGGATTAGAGGAGAAGGCAGGGCTCCAGGAGGGAGGGTGTGTGTGTGTGTGTGTGTGTGTGTGTGTGTGTGTGTTAGTGCTGTCTTCAATAAGTGACCCAACATGTTTACCTTCTTCTGTCTTAGCCCAGACAGGCTATATGCGAAGTTTTAAATTCTAAATATTTCCCTCGTGCTAGATTATGCCCAGGTTGTTCTATTAGACAATTCTCCTCTACAATGGAATGACACCCTCAATCCATTAAATCCACTTTCCTACTCCCCATTTTGAATTGTATTTCTCAGTGCCTGACACCACCAGCATTGATGACCCCAGGGTTGTAGCTGAGCAGGAAAGAGCTGACTGCAGGGTGAAGCCTAGGAACTTGCCTACAGCTTCACCATACATCTGCTTCCAAGGGTGACCTCTGCAATGTTGTGACCTCAGGGTTTAGAACTTCAGCATACACACCTGCCTTCCACACATTCATGCCTCACCCATTCCAAAACACATCCTGCCACTCTCTCTAATGCCTGCGTTTTTATTTATTTTTTAAAATCTCCATATCCTTCCTTCTTGTGAAAGCATGAACTGCCAGCCAACTTTTTTAGCTTAGCAGACAAAATGCTACCAGAAAAGCCTGGAAGGAGGGAAGATATGTTACTTTTTGCTCTAGCATCTGATCTAGAGTCAGTTAATCTATAATCACTTGGGAATAAATCTATTGCTATAATACAAAGTTGAGTGGTGATGATTACCAGGTTTAAAATCACTTGATGGAGTATAGCCAGAAAGAACTCGTCTGCTTTTTGATCACAGGCTGGGGATAATCTTGAAGGGGAGAGAAGGACAGTCTGGCAGAAGACAACTGTGGGGAGAATTTGGCCCATTTCTAGCCCTTCTCACCCTCTGCTTAGCAAAAATCTTACCTAAGGCAAAAGAAACCTGAATCTCTAGGTGCCATGCCTTTTTTGGTTAGGAGGATATACCCCAGTTCTTTAATACTGCCTTCACCTCTGGCACCCCTCTAAACCTGGACAAACAGCCTCCAGTCTCACAGCTTCTTGGGATGGAACGAGCACCACACTGTTACTTGCCAAGTGTGTATCACTGTATATCAGGTGTTCTCCAAGAAGCTGAGATCTCTCATGAAGAGGACAAACAAGTTCTGACTCTCATGAAATTGGGTATTTTCCTTCAAGAAAAAATTAAGAAACAGACAAGGGAAATTGAGTCTCATAAAACTAGAAAGCTTTATTAATGTCCTATTAGTTGTAGATGGTGAATTTCTTGAAAAAAATGTGGGAGACAAATAGCTGAGAAAGACGAACAGCAAAGAAATGAGAACAAGGAGGGAGGATGATGATGACGCATAACCAAGGCAAGGTGAGAAGAGTAGGGTGTGAGGGTGAGCAAAGCAGGGGAATTTGGCCTCGTCAAAGAGCTTCCTAAGGGACAGAGAACAGCAGGCTCTGCAGAAGGGGAGCCCTCAGTGGCCAAGCTGCTGATATTCTGTGACCTGTAGCCCCAAAGTCTTAGGCCGGGAGAGCTGAGTGGAGCAGGGCTATGAAGGAAAACAGGTTGGGATGGAGCCAAAAGACATATATCTTCCTTCAGATTTTGGTTGAGGGCCCAGAATCCAAATTGATAGCAGCAAATCTGGACAAACTAGATCTTTTTGGTTACAAGTTTTCACTGTATGGTCCAGCTTGTGTACCCAAGGCTGGCCTTGGACTTAAGATCTGATTTAGCTGAGATTAGAGGCCTGCATCACCATACCCAGCAGACCCAGTCTTAAATGTTTGAAATCTGTTAATAGATTTTTTTGTCTTTTGTCTTTTGAGACAGGGTCTCACCATGCAGTTCAGATTGGCCTTGAGCTCACTTTGTAGCCCAGGCTAGTCTCAAACTCACAATGATCCTCTTGCTTCAGCCTTTGGAGATTTATAGGCACGTACCACCAGGCCTGGCTCAAATGGAGTATTTTCAACCAGGTGAAGTAGAACATCCATAATCCCATAATCCCCTCTTCAGAGGCTGAGGCAGAAAGACTGTTATAAATTCAAAGACAACCTTTTAATATAGAGTGAGACTCTGTTTCAAAAACAAAATAAGTATTTCCTTCTTACTAAGAAATGAGATGAGTCAGGTATCACACATGCCTGTAATTCCAGCAATGAGTCCAAGGCCAGCCTGAACTGCATGGTGAGACCCTGTCTCAAAGAAAACAAAAAATGTAAGGGTTAGATTTGAGATTTATTTTTCTGGTTATTGTAGTCTGAGAAGATTATCATTAGAAAAGGTAAAGTTACTTAAATCAGGAATAGTGGCTCATACCTGTAATTCCAGCAGCTGGGACGATGAAGCAGGTGGATTGTGACTTGGAGGCCAGCCTGGAATACACAGAAAGACCTCCTTTAAAAAGAAAGTTAAAAGGAGAAAACTTAATCTCCAGTGAAGGAAGACTGTTAGGATGAGCACTCACTGTGCTGCAAGCTGTGCGAGTACACTCACAAAGGCTTCCACATGTGGGCTGTAAGCTCTGATGCTCAGCAGTCAGCTCAGGGCCGGCCCTGGCCCTCAGCACAGGTCCACACTGGACAATACTCAACACTGGGTAATCACTGACCCTTTCCTGGGGAGGCACATAGGGTCTGGGGCCTTTCATGGGCTCAGAAGGGGGCCCCACCAGATTCTGACTCAGGGTGCAAGAGCTAAATGGATGCAGTGAGTGTGTGGCGAGGTTAGCAAGGTTAGATGTCCCACAGGCCCTGTCCTGTGTGCACTGAGTCACTGTGAGATCTTGTTTCTGTATTGTAAACTAAAGAGGAGCACGAGGATAGGTACATTTCAAAATGGAATGCATTACCTATAATTCCAATACTCTGGGAGGCTGATACAGAAGGATCACAAGTTCAAGCCCAGCCTGGTAACCAGTGACTTAGACCTCGTCCAAAATAAAAGGAGCTGAAGGTATAGCTCAACACAAAGGCCTTTGATTCAATTCCCAGTACAAAACAAAACAAAACGCAAAACAGTATGTCTGATTTTCATAGTGATTTATGTGACATTTATGGTTACTTTATCTCCATACTATTCCCTAACATATTAAAAAAAGACTTGAATAGAGCTAAAGAACAGGGATATCTGACAGCCTTTAGGTTTTTATTCTGTATTTCATCTTGAAACCCTCTTCTACCTGAATTAAAATTTAATAGGCAGGTAAGAAATAATTTACCTTTTTCACACAATAGTTTTTTGTTTGTTTGTTTGTTTCTTGGTTTTTGAGACAGGGTCACCCTATGTAGTTGAGACTGGCCTAGAATTCATTGTGGTCTTTGGTCTTTCTGCCTCAGCCTCCATGTGATTTTTTTTTTTTTTTTAATTTCAGTACTTGGCTCAGGTAGAAGGACTGCTGCAAAAGTTTAAGGATAGCCTGGTCTACAGGGTGACTTCAATATCAGTCTAAACTACATAGTGTGGCCCTTTCTCAAACAAACAAACAAACAAATAAGGTGAGCTGTAGCCATTATCTGCTGTAGGGAAAGCTTGCTGGGGAACTGGTATGGTCGGAAGACAGGGCAGCTTTGTGCTTGACCAGTGAAGAAGTGAAAGGGATCCTCAATGGCATACTGGAACATTCCTGCAATCCTAGCACTTGGGAGGCTGGGGCAGGAGGGCAGTAAGTTTGACTCCAACCCAGGCAACTGAGTGACTTAGCAAAATCCTGTCTCCAAATTAAAAAAAGGAAAAAAGAAGACGGCGGGGGGTGGGGGGTGGGGCCTAAGAGCAACACCAGAAGTTCAAGGCCAAACTGAACTACACAGCAAGACCATGTCTCACAAAACAAAAGACAAAAATAAATAAAAAGCATTTGTGGATATAGTTTAGTGTGAAGGCCCAGTTCGATTCATTACCAGTAACAACAAATAAGATTAATTTCTCAGGGTCCTGGGTATATAGCTCATTGGAAAGTGCTTGCCTGGTATGCACAAGGTCATGAGTTCGATCTCTGTTACCAAAAAATAAAAATAAAAAAGTTTAAAAAACTTAATTTCTCTGTGTGAAACCCTGTTCTTAGTGATTCTCTGATTCTTTTGGGTATTTTTGGTACTGGGAATCAAACTCGGGACCTTGCATTTGCCAGGCAGGTGCTTGTAGCATCAAGTTATACCCCAACCTCCTCTACAGTCTTTGCATAGCGGTTTTACAACTGTCACATGACAGTTTTATGATATCATCACTTAAATGTGTTCACATTTTAGATTCTTTCTAACACACACTTTTTGGAAAATGTGCTAAAGATGGGTTGCTTCTCTTCTCCTAGGTCCCATTTTCCCTAAAGATTACAATTCAAATGTTTAGGGGCAAAACCACAAAGGTCCCAGATAGGAGCATTCAAGATGGTAGCAAATCCAGGAAAACAAATTGGTGAAGTCTTTGGGTTTTGGCCTCCAGGCTGCCCTGGTTGCAGGTAAGGAGCAATCTCTCCAACAGGGGGCGCTGCTTCACCCATCCCAGCCCCACTGGGGTGGTGGGGTGGTCGAGCCCTGAGGCATCAATTTAGAGAAATTCCCTCAGTCAGCTGGATATCATATCCTTACTGAGCCCTATTGGTGATTATAATGTTGAACACTGTATCTTACTGTTCTTATTATTCTGGATAATGTACATTAAGCACAAAGTGCCATAAATGTCAATTACTACAGCCAGATGTGATGGCACATGCCTGTAATCCCAGCATCTGAATTACTGAGGAAGAAGGAGTGCTGCAAGTCCAAAGCCAGCTTGGGCTACACAGTGAGTTCATGATCAGCCTGACCTACACCGGGAGATCTCATCTCAAAAAGACAAAGGACCTGAGATATAGCTTAGCGGCACAAGCTACGGCCTGGCAAACACAAAATCCTGAGTTTGATTCCTGCTACCAAAAAAAGAAAAAACCTCACAAAATCACTAAATGATCGTGCATGGCAGGCATGCAGGAGCATGTGGTCAGCTCCCTGCCGAGGTCATCCTCACTCCATGCATGGCCTAGTGGCCTACAAGTATAGGAAGGGGACAACGGGCCAGCATGGGCCCTCTGACCTCACTCTGGTACTAACCGTTTCTTTTTTCCATCTTGTTGGTCCTGCTTGCCTCCCAGACACTGAAGCAGACTCTACCGCGTCTTCCCCTTCAAGACACAGCTTCCTGTAGGGTGGTCAGGGGCATGCCATTTAGTCACTCTTCTTTTTCTCTGTGTGTGGATGTGATACTACAGATTGAACCCATGACCTTCATGTCAGGTTACACTCCCAGTCACGTTTTTAGTTTTTCACTTTGAGACAGGGTCTCCCAAAGTTACTAAGTTGCCCAGGGCGGGCTTGGACTTAGGATCCTCATGCTTCAGTACCCCACAGTGCTAGGAGCACTACCACAAGTACTCATGAAGGGTGAATCCCATATGATTCTGTGGTATCTTAGATAAACTCATCTCCGGGGCCATCAATACAGTTCTTTCCACCAGGGGGAAATTTTTTAATCACGTTAAGCGTTCTGGGAAAAAAGGGAAAGACAAGCTGAGTATGGTGAAGTAGCACCTCTGCCCTCCATGGCCCAAGTACTCGCTTCCCATCCACTAGGACAACTTCTCCATCTGCTACCAAAATTCTGTATGTTTGAGACAGCATCTCAGCATGCAGTTGAGGGTCGCTTTGAACCCATGTTGCAACCCAGGATGGTTCCAAACTTGAGGCAATCCTCTTGTCTTAGCCTCCAGTGTTGGGATCATAAGCATGTGCCACCATGCCTGGCAAAATCTGATGAAATGTGGCCTATTTTGCCACATCTGACACAGCTCTTCCTGTGCCTTCACTGCAGCCTGTCACCACCTGGAAGCATGGAAGCTGTACAGCAGGGTAGGAGCAGGGACAATGACCCTGATCCCAGTGTGACAGTGGAGGTCACTCCCTTCCAGCCTGTTTCACCTTGGCTGGGGGCTGAGAGTGGTAGGTGCACCCACTGAGACAGCTCACAGTCCAAGGGGAGGCTAAAGCAGGACAGCCTGTCCTCTGAGGGCCACCTCCCCAGCCCTGCCCTCCTCTTCTCTTGCTGTGCTAGCTGTGCTTCTCTTTTAGGCCATTCTCATTTGGGGAATGCAAAAACAAACCAAGCTGGAGGTGCAGGCCTGGACTCCTAGTGCTCTGGGAGACTGAGGTGAGAGGATCCGGAGTTCAAGCTCAATTTGGGCAATGGAACAACTTAGCAAGATCCTATCTCAAAACAATAAAAAATGGGCTGTGGCTGTGGGTTCAATTCCTAGTTCCCAAAAAGAACTAAACCAAACCCCAAACCCCTGAGTTCAATTCCTCCTAATTTAATCTTAATAAAGACTTTCTGTGAAAGTGAGGCAATATTTAGTGCAAAGCTTACACTCAGTCTTCTCGGCAGAGCAAAGGCTATGCTGCTTGCTCATCCAGCCCATGCCACTGATGTTTCCTTGCCCCTGCCCATTCCAGGGCTCTGGGAGACTGACACAGGAGGTTAACAAGTTCAGGCAACTTAGCAAAATTTAGCTAAAGCCTGCCTCAAAAACTAAGTAATTAATATTTTTAAAGGGCTGTAAAGGTAGCTCAATGCAAAGGTCCTGGGTACCAAAAAACAAAATAACACTGACCCCTGTTTGCCTTTTCTGTTTTATAAATGTATATACTCAAGAGGCTGAAGCAGGAGAAGTGCTGTGAGTTCAAGGGCAGCCTGAGCTATACAGCTAGAACTCTGTCTGCCAAACCTGTACCTTTCCTAATGTGAAGGCCCATGGGACCAGGCATTTCGACCACACATTTTGCCTGCAGCAGATACTGAGGCTTCCGCCATCTCAGCCAGGGCTTGGAGTGAGTCCCCAGGAAGCAGTGAGGACCCCTGTGGGGCATTAACAGGGCTGTCAGGGGCCTAGAAGGATGTAGTCTGGCATGCCCACAGGAAGTAATATCAACAAAGGTTGCCCTCAGCCAGTTTAGGTATGTTGGTAAAGGTCTTTTCTTTTCCTTTTCCCTTTTTTTTTTCTTTTTTTTTTTTTTTGTACTGGGAATTGAACTCACGATTTTGTGCTTACCAGACAAGCACCTGAGCCATTGAAGTAAATCCCCAGCCCATAAAGGTGTTTCTTTGTACAAATCCAGTTTTTGTGTATTGTTTCTTATATTGTTCATCTTTTTGTTTAGTTCTTCCAATTTTTTAACTGTGTCTTCTTTTGATATGTTCAGCATCTCTTTCATTACTTTTATCATTTCTTCTTTTACCTGGTAGATTATTTCTAGTTTGAATTCCTTTAAAGCTTCCTGGAGTTGCTTCTTTATTTCAGTAGCTATTACTTCAGGTATTTCAGGTGTATGGCATATATTTTCTTCTA